TTTATGAGAGGAAAGATCGTCACCAGGTTTATTTTAATGCATAAAAATCCCTCGTTTGTTTTTTTTTTTTTTTTATTGAATAAGACCATAAATGATAAGTTACTTACATGGGACAATGTCTTTAATGCAGCAGATTTAGCTAGAAGCTCATTTTCATCTAGTCTGGAGGCAAAAAGTGATGCACAGACTGATATAGTCGTCAGTTATTGCACTTTAAAACACACAGTAAGTTCAACATTTGGTTTCCAAATGCAGATGTTATATGATTTAACAAGAAACACATAAAAAGGGGGATTGTACAGACGCATATTGTCAAAAATCTGCTGTTTTCTGAATTATGGAGATACCTCTCAGCCCCCCATGAGCCTAAACCAAAACCCATAACCCGCCTCCAGCGTGTTCAAGTGGGGCCCTATAAGCCCTCTAACCCCTGGGTCTCCAGCCCTGAGACAAGCCTCCAGTGCCCCCCCCCAACCCTTCAACCCGTGGTAGTCCGCTGGAGAACCAGAGTCCGAGCATCTGTTCTCAGCTTTCCTCTGAAGGAATGTGACAAGTTTTTACAGCATTAAATAAACATTAAACAACCAATGCACACTGAAAATATCAATAATATTAATAATGAATCCAAACCGAAGCCTACAGGCCGTTCACTGGATCAAATATCGATTGGTGAACGAAGCAATACTGACACAGACGGATAGAAAGCACAAACACGAGATACTTCTAAACACAACACGTAATCCTCAGGACATTATAGTAGCCTGAAAGACGTAAGATAAGTACGATAATTATGGCTGAAGTCTTTTTATATTGCTGAAATGTTTGAGAAGGAACATCCTGATGCTGATGGAGGGCTCAGTGATTTCCTCCTTCGTGCCAAGAATGGAAGATAATGTAATAACATGCTTGGTGCACGATTGGTATCTCTACAGGGAAATGAAGGCCGCAGATCCATCTTCTAATGTTCTAACTTTCCTACCAGAGAGCGAGAACCTCATCATGGAAAATAAAGGTAATTTGAATTTAGCTGCTGGGACGTCTCCCTATCAACATAACTAAACCCTACAACGCATACATACATCTCATTTCCACCTGCAGAAGGCTATAAGATTACTATACATTCCTCCAGCTGACCTCGCTGTCAGACGCCTCCATAAAGGGGAAAAACCGTGAGGAAGATGATGACCCACGGAGAGAGAGAAAGAGACATGCCTCTAACTTACAAACAGAAAAATAAAACAGCTGTGATTCATTTCCTTTTTTTTTTTTAAATTACATCTTGAAATACAACTTTAGGGACGTTCCAGTGCTGCACATCTCTGTAAACACATTCCACACACATTAGCAACACGCTGCACACTTCTGTTGTAAATGGTGTCTGGGACAGATTAGGAAAGAATCAAACAAAAGCCTTTGAAAAGACAGATTTACTCTGCGTGCGTGTATGTATGTTTTCCTGCGAGGGGTTAAAAAAAGAAAGATGTTGTAATTCATTATAATCAGCTTGTGCAGCAGCCATTTCTGTTCTTTAGTGAGCAGGCTGGGGGTAAATCTGAAGACTCACAACATGATTAACAGGACAGGAATGAAAAACAACGAACCACTACACACATTATTATTTTTGTGATAATTTGACTCCCTCTGGCCTCTAAAACAACCAATATTCATAAAGCATTACATGATTATAACCTCCTAAAGACAAAAAGGACGTGTCAGTCGTATCTGTAGGACTCCTATGTGTAAGTCTCTGGTCTCGCAAAGCTTTTAAAATTCAGCTCTTAAAGTTTATAAGTTCACTTTCCGCTGGATGTCGCGCTAGAGCTCCAACATCTCAGATCAAAACAATAAAATATAAAATAAAACTAGTCAATGAGTCCATAATTCACAATTAGACACACATACATTTTAAAAATGGCTGAAAGTGAAAAAAAGTTGTTTTTGTCGCTGTCAGGCTCAGAGATAGACCTTTAGTTTAACCAGAAACAACCGTAATATCATTCTCCACCAGACTCCACAGACAAAAACATTAATTTTACCTCACAGATCATCGTAACGTCGTAACTTAATTCAAAGTGACCAGAAACTAAATAAAACTCATCAAAACTGTCTTTATTAGTCTTTCCACTGTTACAACAATCACCAACTCTTGTTTGGTGGAAATAAATCCTTAATTCACAGAGTTACATGTGAAAATATTCGTTAAAATGGCTGCAATTGCTGTAACAAGCTAACCTTAATTCTTACGGACAAAGTCAAAGTAGGTCCAGTAACAGCAGTAGTTTCTGCCACTGACAGACTCAGGTTTTTATTGTCAGTGTCTGACAGCATTATGGAAAGGATCCCTACAGAGATAGACCTTTAGTTTAACCACAAACAGCCGTAATATCACTATCACTCTCCACCAGACTCCAGAGACAAAAACACTCATTTTACCTTCAGATCATCGTAACTTCATTCAAAGTGGACAGAAACTAAATAAAACTCACCAAAACCGTCTTTGTTTGTTGTTTCCAACAAAGACTGTTTTGTTGGTGAGTTAATTGGTTATCAAATCAGATTTTGACATTTGGTGTGATCACATGCTTTATGTTACTGGTTTAAAGGTTATATTTCAGAAGAAAAACATATTTAAGGGGAGGTAAATGGTTGATGTTTCAGCTTTAATCATCATTTTTACACATAAATAATAAAGTCACAACAATATCAACATAAGAGTCAGACTTTGTTTAAAAACCCATCAGGTGACAGTTCTCAGATTTAACCACTAGGTGGAGACAAATATCCATGAATGAAAGAGTTTGATTCAGTCTGTAATTTACACTGTTGATCATCTTGTTACTGTATTTGTATATTTGACATTATTAGATTGTTTAATACTGATGCATCAACATTAAAGCAGCATTTTACTGCTGAAGGTGGAGCCAGTTTCAACCACTTTATATAAAAGTTACCTGCACTGTAATTATTCCGTTATTTTAACTCTAAAAAAGGTTGAAACTGAAGTTAAAAAGCAGCTTTTAGTATATATTTTAAGTGACATTAGCTCAGTTTTATAAGTTACAGACACATTCCTAATTAAGTAGTTTTATTATATATATATTTTTTTACAAATCACCTTAATGTGGTTCAGGTGGTTTATGTTTAGATTATTGTACCAAGAAATCACAGAAAAAGGACATAAATTTACTGTTTTCATGTATTACGTCGTATTAAAATAGTCTGCTTGGAAGAATAATGTGGATTTTATGTGTTTACAACAACAACAAATAATGTGTATTATGTTTTTTACTGTAAAATATTCCTGTAATCTGAAAAATAGCAAATAAATGGGAGGATTTTGATCAGAAATATAAACTATCATATGTTTATAGTGAGTATAAAGCAGGAATTTCACCACATTGTCCCTGAATGTGAAACTAATGTAGGTTAAATTCAGCAATAGGTCAACAGGTGTCAGCAAATCCTCAACATGAGGAAGTTCAATCACTTTAAATGCTTAAAATATAATAATCTGACCTCACTGAGCATGAGTCCAATCCAATGTAAACAATTAAAGTCTCTTTTAACAGTTCAGTCTTGTAACATTATAAGATTCAGAAACTGAATAAAAAGTTAACTTACTTGAGGTACTTAAAGTACATGAGGTGTAAATGTCTGATCAATCAATTATTCAAAGACGTGCAGATTGATTATTTAACAACCTTCTTAAAGTTATTTTGTTCATTTTCTTACATATAGTTTTTTTTTATTATATCAAATCTAAAATTAAGCGTCTGATTTCAGTGTTTCTGGAGCAAAAATCTCACAATTAGAAGTTAAACTCAAACTCAATTAATCAATAAGTTGATCAGACAGAAAATGTATAAGAAATAAATTAATCAGCATAAAAATGAGCTTTTTCTTTCTCTCCTGTGATTTGATGAATGGTGAATTGATTATTTTTAGCTTCTTTTATATACCAAACAGCTGATTAAGGAATGATCAATCAATACTCCCTTTATTAGATAAGACAGACAGGAAAGGAGGTACAGAGAGGACAGACAGACAGACAGACAGACAGAGACAGGTTTATGGTTAAAACTGAGCTAAAAGTAATGGATGAGCTCATTATGTAAAAGTAAAAGTGATAACTAGTTGACTAATAATAGTTTAATTCAACAAAAATTAGAAATATAGTTAAAATAGTTAACTAATAACACAGCTGAGCTACCAACACTTTAAATATTATTAAAGTTATGGTTATGGTTGAAATAGACAATAAAAGCAGTAAAATGGTTGAAAGTAATTAATAAATAGTTGTAATATCTAATAGTAGTGAATAATCTGATATTAATGCAAAATAAACAGTTCAGTTAAATATGTTTATATAATTAAATAACATCGAGTTTAATTCAACTCCAATCAACAACTTCATCTCAATTAATTCAAACTTAATTACATTCATTCGTTTTCCCGCGGCTCACACTGGTCCACCTCAGCTGTCAATCACACCTCTAATCCCCGCCTCCCGCGCGGACACACCCATCTCCTCACCGGCGTTTCCATTTACCGATTACAGGCACGCGCTGTCCGGTCAGTGTGCGTGTGTGTGCGCGCATGCATGCACGTGTGTGTAAATATATTGTGTGTGTGTGTGTGTGTGTGTGAAAGGTTACGTCGGGGTGAAGATTAACATCAAACACCGAGTCTCCGCGTGGTGGGTGGTGTGTGTGTGTGTGTGTGTGTGTGTGTGTGTGTTTCTACCTAGTGGGCGTGTGCCCGCTCCGCCCTGCAGACCGGTGCATGTGCGTGCATGCGCGCGGGTGTGATTGCACGTTTGCACGCGAGAGGAAATCAGATTTTGTTGCATTTGTTTTTTTTTTTTTTATTTAAATTTAAATTTATTTTCTATAAACAGGATGTCTCTTGCGGGTCCTCGCGGCGGCGGTCACGAGTGGGTAAATTCTCAGTGATTTTTCACGCGCTTTCACCCTCCTCCTCTTCCTCCTCCTCTTCCTCCTCCTCCTCCTCCTCCTCCTGCTCCTCAGCGTGGAGGTGCGGGGCCACTACTGGCTGTGTTGTTGCGGCACTGGATGGATCTAACGAGCAATGTTTGCGGGTGAAGCCTCGGGCGGTGCGCGCGGAGGGAAATAAAAACAAAAAAACCGGGGAATTTATTTTTCTATATATTTTTTAATTTTTTTGTTAATTTTTCTTCCTCCTCCTCTTCCTCACCTGCTCGTCAGTCACCTCCACTGTGGCGACATGTCAAACTCAAACAAAAGCAAGAAGGACAAAGAAATCCTCGCAGAGTACGAGAGCCAAGTCAAAGGTAAGATTATTTAAACATTAACACCTCCGGAAAAGCTCCAGTTCCTCGCAGTCACACCCACCTTCTCTCACCTATGCACGCTCACACACACACACACACACACACACACACACACACACACACACACACACACACACACCTGTCTGCCTTGCACTCATGCACTGAAATTTTGTGCAAGGGTGTGTATGGGAGCTGACACCTCACCATGAGACGTCAGGATTTCTGGGTTCATCCTGAGTGCTGCATGGCGCCTGAGGGGGGGAGGAAGAAGGGGTGAGGAGGATGGGGTGTGTGTGTGTGTGTGTGGAGGGGAGGGAGGGGGGGTGTATTTATTCTGCAGAGCACCTTGATCTTATATTTGTGTGTGTGGTTTTTTTACACTCAGACCTGAGGCGAGTGTGTCCTCGTCTGGGTGTCTTTCTATTGGTATTCCTCTGAGGCTGTGACTGCAGCAGTGTGTGTGTGTGTGTGTGTGTGTGTGTGTGTGTGTGTGTGTGTGTGTGGTCTCCATAGATTACCTCATGAAGCTAAACATGTTTAAGGTGCTGACAAACTCACTCCTGATATAGTGGTTGCCATGACCGTGGGACAACCCTCCTCCTCCAGCCCCCCACCATCACCACCACCACCCCGTGGCGCCATGGTTACCATCATCCCCTGCTACGGTTGGGGCGGCGACGGACGAATGACCTTTTTAGCGAACAACTACAACAGGCGAGGTTTTTACGTACGCCTTCTTTACCTGCCGTGGAGTTCAAAATGTCCGACCTCTGGTGGTGCGACACCTGCAGACACCATTAGAGTCAGAGCCGGGGCGCAACCTCTCTTGTTCCACCTTTCTGGCGAGATTTATTCATCTTTTTCCTCTCCCCTCCTCTCCTCTCCTCTCCCATACAAGCTCTTCCCTCTCCACATGGCTCTTCACACTTCCAGCATTCACTTGTCACCTAACGCCCACACCATCACCCATCAGCCATCACTCCTTCAGCGTCTAAAATAAAAGAATAAAACACACAAACCGCCTAAAGATCCACGGCGAGTACTCGAGGAGGGAGTTTTTTCTCCAATTTAAAATTCTTTTCATTCAGAAATGATCTTCCTCTTCGTTAGTGTGTCATACCTTTTCCTTCTGCACACGTGAGTTTGAGTGATTACATTTTTAAAGTGTCTTTCTTGTTTCTGTGTGTGTGTGTGTGTGTGTGTGTGTGGCCTTTTGGTCTGGCGTGCTGCCAAAACACACCCGGGGATGCCCTGCATTGAAATGACCGCTCAGATAAAACCCCCCTCTTCTTCGTCCTCCTCCTCCTCGCTTCTTCCGCCGGCCGGCCCCTTCTCCTGCGCCTCCTGCCGAGAGCCGAGCATATAGATCTGCGTTGTAACTATGTGCTTTCCAAGTCTGCCTCCTTGCTCCGGCTCCTGATTGGTCGATGCAGGGAGGTGGTGTGTAATGTATACACAGGAGGTGGCCTGCCTGCCGCCGCTCGCTCGCTCCCTCTCACTCTCTCACGGGGAGGTGGGGTCTCTGCTCGCTGAGGTGAGGTGAGCCTCGCCGTAAAGGTAGCAGGCAGAGAGAGAGAGAGAGATTATGCACAGTGCTGACGGTTCATATTTGTGTGTGCTCGATAATGCTTTGGTTCACCGAGCGTGCTCCTGGTATTTGGAGCGCCACCTCGCCGCCGAGGAGTGTGACAACCTTCCTCCGTCTGAATGAGATGAGGATCGTCTTAATGAGAAAATGCTAATGAAAGAAAGAGCTCTGCAGGAGAGAGGAGAGGGAGAGAGAGAGGGAGACAGACACGAGGCAGAGATGGAGTGTTTCCTGCATGAGGTGGCGGCGGCTGCAGCTCTTCGATTTTGCCTGCGTGTGCATGCAGGTGATTAGTGACCTCACATCTGCACACCTGCAAGACCAAAACCAGAGAGAGGAAAAGGGTGGATGGGAGATAATGAAGTGACTCTTCACTCTGAAGGGTCAAATCAGAGGCCTTCGCGAGGGTTTCTTGATGATCCAGCAGTGCTCTGCCTGCCCCCCCCCTTCCCGTGTCCTTGGACCTGGTCGTCATGGTAATGGCCACCCCGGGGGGGAAGAGCTTCCTGTTTCTCTGACATCACACACACACGTACATATATATATGTGTATCAATAAATATAAATGCACACAGATAAACGCTCGTCATCGTCATAAAAAGCGAACACAGGCGACGCCTGAATGGATGAGAGCCGCGTAATGAATCACTCATGGTGGGTAATTAATGAGTTAGTCATCGGCTGGAAGTGAAGTCAGAGAGGGAAGTCAAAAACCATCTGAGAACAGACGATGCAGCTAACGAGTATTTTCATATTGATGGGCGGTCTTTAAAATGACATAAAACACTGAAAAAAAAAAACCTGTCACAGGTTCCCAGACTCCATAGTGACATCTAGAGCTTGGGGATCAATGTGTCACGATAAAGTCTTTCATTTGAGTCAATATACTTCAGGTTATTATTGATCATTTCTGTCTATCACTTATTTGTTTCTCTTTCTATCATCTTTTCTGTTTCAACAGTCGTTGCCATACTGTGATTTTGCGTAACCACACGTTATAACCATCAACAGCAGCTACAAAAACACTACAGACAAACAAATGTGAAACCTTATCCGAGGTTCTAAGCATCCCAATATCATTCCTCTTCTGTAACATCAAATATCAAGAACTACGAGGCCCAACAGCTCGGCTCAACAAAACCTGTCCCTGCTGTTGGAATAATTTTGGGTTCCCGTTCAGTTTTCCCATCAAACAGTACGAGGTTACAGACACCAATGACTCGTGGGTTTACTTGGACTTGAGCCCTTTTGACTTGAAAATTCTTTCCTCACAATCCCAAAGAGTAAAAAGTGTTATTTAAAATCAATTCTTTGCCTGAATCGACTCTTAATTCCTCAGATCCACTTTGTTTGAACCAATCCGACAGCATCCGAATCAAGCTGCAGGACAGAACCATGAAGAACTAATGTTATATTACTTACTGGTTGAAAAGTGCATTATGACTTGTTTAGGACTCAAAATTGAAAGTAGAGGACTTGGGAATTGACTGCAAAGACCTGAGACTTGTTCCCGCCTCTCTTGTAGAATAAAGATAAGGTTTATGGGCCTACCTGTTGCCCCGGCACTGATCAGATGTCACCTCGCTCAGCTCGCTGTCCGTGGTACGACACTGATCAGCGTCAGTGCTCAACACGCTTACAGACGGGAAACGTGACGGTTCCTTCGCGGCGCTCTCTTTCTCCAAAACTCTGGTCGTGTGCTTGATGATGCGACTGAACAACACACCTGTCAGATGATTGTGTTTTCGCGCAGAGCTGTTTCATTCATCTCCCTCCTCCTGCCTCTTGGGTCTGTTAGCTGCCGACTTTGAGCCGAATAAAGTCTCCAGTTAATTCACACATTCGGCTGAAGTTCTCCAGTTAACAAGGTCGCTCGTTAAACTGAAAACACGCGAGCGAGGGAGGTGGAGGCTGCGTGAATTTCCTCCTGTGTGGTATTGTAATCTCGGGATTGTGAACTAAGAGATTTCAGCCTCGCCGCTCTGAGACGCTTCCACCGTCTTAAAAAAACAAATACTGAACATTTTGTGACGATATGATGTCAGCATTCATTATTGTGGTTATAATGGCAGGCCTACGCTACATTATCAAAGTAGGGAGTATTCATTATGTCCTTTCATGGCGTTTAATGCATTGATGAATTCTACTGCAGGTGCATAATGCTATTGCTTTATTGCTCAGACATAGTGACAAATACCTTTCAAGAGCCCAAAACCCAAAAGTATTCAGTTTCCTGTCTTATAACATAAAGGAAACCAACAAATCTTCACATTTGAGATAGAATATGTGGTATTTTTGCTTGAAAGACTATTAAAAATGTTTTCTTAATGTTGACCTGCAGCATAAAACATTCAAATCCTAGTTTTGTCACTTATTTGTTTCTCTTTCTATCATCTTTTCTGTTTCTCTTAATTGCCAAAATCATCATGTCGTTGCCATACTGTGATTTTGCATCACCACACATAACCATTGACAGCAGCTACAAAAACACTACAAACAAATGTGAAACGTTATCCGAGGCTCTAAGCATCCCAGTATCCTTCCTCTTCAGTCTTCTGTAACATCAAACATCAAGAACTGCGAGGCTCGACAGCTCAGCTCAGCAAAACCTGTCCCTGCTGTTGGAATAATTTCGGGGTCCCGTTCAGTTTTCCCATCAAACAGTTCGAGGTGACAGACAGCTGAAGCACTTGAAGGCTTGGATGAACATGAAACTGTCCTGCATGAATCAGGAATTATGACAATCTGGTTCTTTTTAGCACCAAACATCCAACCACTGACCTTAAATTTCTCCTATTCACTTATTGATTCAGGGTTAATTTTGGGTGATTTCAGCATCTACAGTGCTGCGATATGTTCACAGATTCAACAAACCGATTCAGAGCCTCTGACCTTTATGGTTACAGTTAAATGAACGTCTTCCTTCCTCTGGCTTTATCTGAGCTGAAACTGGATGTCTGTGGTTGAGTCATCTGCTGCTGACAGTCCATAGCAGTTTATAATAACCTGTATTTGTTGAATATGCACAATGACAGCTTTGCAGGAGGTGCAGGTCTTATCTCGATGCTGTCTTGCACTCAAAGTCTTAAAAATGTGACATTTTTAGTCATAAACTTAAAAGAAAATTGAAATTTGATTGTGTTGTCGACAACTGCCAGGAGGCAGGTTGAGATTAAATCTGTTTGTCAGTGGAGATACGTGGGTTATCGGACGGCTTTTTAAAGTGGCAACCAGCCAGACAAGCACTGCTGGACACCACGGCAGTAATTGGGATGAGATCAGTTTTCTAGATGAGAAGAGAAAGCAGTTAAAATCATTTCACCGCTGGAGCTCGAACTCCTTTTTAAAGAGGAAAGTCTAGACACCCGTGGTCTCTGGGTGGTGATCACATCGCACTCATGTTCGTTAAGCGC